GTTTTCGTGTTTTGAGCCCCATTCGCGGGGATCACATATTTTTTATTGTGATTACTGTGACTTACCTTTACGCTTCACCCTTTTACCCTAATTTCTCCGGATTGATGCCTAAATAAATCGCAGCTGAAATTCGATACACAACAGTGTGGTTTCTATCTATTTAAATGTCCTCGCAGTGGCTGCGTGACTGCCAATGAACAGTTGATGGTGGTTCAAAACGATTTGCATGAATCGATAACGGCGATAGGATAAAAAGTAATGAAACGCTTTCCGCAAAAGAAATTGTCCGATGCAGTTGATGCCTCAAGTCATTGGGGAAATTGGAGGAATACCAGAATAAGTATTGGTATCCCCCTGAGAAGGGGATGGTATTGCGCGAATGCATGTGTATGAGAAAGCCGATTTCATTGAAGAAACAATCGAAACGAGGGGAATGGAATGGAACATTTACAGCTGGGTCATAGCACAGATGATGCCTAGTGTCCAGATTTAAAACGGTTACATGAGTGCATTCCGGGTAGGATCTGTTTAAGTCGACAACCTCATATGCACACGAATAACCGATGTACGCAACTATGGATGAGGGAATCGCTTGATTGTATCGAAAATATCATTGACAAAAAATTGGTTTATTCACCTTCCATACAGGCTGTTCACTGAGTCCGTAAAAACCACTCCAAGATTTCTTTTCTGACTGTGGCCTGCAGACTGGGAGTAATCTGCTTAGCACTGTAATCTAGACGCTAACGGACAGATGGTTGGTGCTGGTTCCGGCGGGGCCTACTGATCGAAATTCATTTGGGAAATGAAATATTCACAGACCGCATATTTTCACGATGTGCTTGCTTTTCAACAAAATTAGAATTTTCTTGGGTTTCCCAATGCGAAGATTGAGAAAGCAGGCTGGTGAATGTGATAAATAAGTTCCAGTAATTCGGCTAATTCTGTTTTCACGTATTACGTTTAGATTTCTCTTTTCATCCAAAAACGTTTTTAAGGTAATGTCACATATCACATGTTGATATAACCCTCACCGCATGCAATCGAAAGATTTCTGTTTTTATGTTTTACTGTTAATTAAATTAACCAATCAATTGAAATTGAAACCGCTCGTCATTGCAAGCAGTAGTGTCAATTAAAATCGCACTTCTGAATATGGCAATCGCGTTAAATGCAAACATTCCACTTTTTTTCTGTCAGATACTAGAAAGAAGGATCTGTCTGTTTATCCTGCCAGTATTCATTTTGTAGTGTATTCCTTGACTGAACTACGTTTTCAAGCAGAAAGAGTCTCCCACCACTCTTGACCGATGTCCCCAATTTGTTTCTTTATCCAATTGTTCACCCATTTGATTGTCCTCCATCACCCTACTGAAAATCATATGCATAACCAGTGAAAGAAAACGAATGACGGCATTCAAGCGGACTTCAAAAAACTTGTTATGAAATCACTATCCTGCCGAATCACTTTCTGTTAGTAAAATAGCTCCTCTTTCTTCTCTGATAGGTCGCCCAGATCCAGTCAGTACATAGTACAGTTCCACTGTCCAGTCATTTCCACTCAGTCACATACTACTCCTTATCAAATATTCTACCAAGACCATCAGGTCACGTTTGTTGCGGTTAGTAGCATCTAACCCATTTACAAAACATCGAATCATAGCATTGATTCTTCATTGGACTGGCTCTGAAAGAGCTGTTTATCCAATGGCCACGTGGCGTTGAAAACAAGGTTATTGTGACGAAAATACACTTCCTGGGTACAAGTATATGAATGAACTGACAAAAGATCGCCGGGTACGCATGCCTGACGAGCGGCAAGAACCGCGAAACCGGTCGTGTGCTTCCGGGGAGGTTTTGTCCAGTCATTCACATACTACTTATTATCAAACAGTTCCACTGTATCATTTGGCACGACCTACCGAAACAAAACCTCCCATACCTGCTCGTTCACATAGTGCATTCACAATAAAGTTCTATTTCACCACCGCTAAACGATCACACCCAAACAAATGGTGAATCTATACCCAGACACACTCACACCGTTTAATTGATTTGTGTGAAACGTGCTCGCTAGTGGTAGATCAAATCTTACCAGAGAATGTTGCAGACAAAAATGTTAGTGAAGAAACAAAACAAGAGAGGTAAAAAAGCGAATAAATACACCCCTAACCAGGTTCACTTTAACGATTTCAACCAAACTCCAATGCTCTGCCAGTGTATTATTTTGTTTTTACTCTCGATCAACGTTCCCAGCGGAAATTCCTGTAAGTTCCTGATCTGAAACCCCCTAATGTTAGGTACGTGCTTTGCGTATCGGCACAAAGTTTCACGTGTCTATTTGCACACGTGGCCCATTTCATCACTTCTGATTAATACTGATCTGATTAAATAGTAGTGTAGGTTTCATTGATAGTTTTGATGGATCACTCAAAACTAATTTTATCGCATACATTTAAATGTATGTTTGGTGGATTGCGCCATGCGTTTTAGACTGTGATTCCGTGCACCTGGTAATGATTTTTTTGTAATTTCTGTTCGACATTATATATTTCTCTGTTTCCTTATAGTCCTCAAGATGAATGTAAATTAAATTTAGATTTTCTAAGATGTCTCATGTGCTGTATTGGAATATCAGCACTCCATTGGTTGACAACCGGACATTTTGAAAACAACAAACATATATATGGTGTTATTGAATTATTAGTTATTTTGTCATTAAAATTTATATATTTCCAAAAGGAACAACTCTACCTGAATGTGAACTATATAGGACGCAGTTTAGCGCATGTCTCATGGGAAACGTTTGGAAGCCCTGCAGATCTAATTAGCCCGCTTGTGTATCGTCAACAGCGCAAGATCATCCACTCGATTTAGGGACGAAGCTGATAGGTCAAAGACAGAAGAGAACGATACTAAAACCATATTATCAATCGGACTGTTTCCACATACGATAAGTCGTGGTCAGCTTTTCAGATTTGGCGCAAACACCTTACCTTGGCCTAACATGTGTGAAAATCAAGTGAATTCTTTTCGGATTGAAGGGTTCATTTATGGGATGGATCATTTCTCCAGAATGCCTAATACGAGACAGTCATGGTTTAGGCCAAAGTCTGCGAGCAACAGAACGCGTCAGACTGGGCAAGTTCAGCAGACATACTAAAAGAAATAGGTCAACCGTGGTAAAACGAAGGTGATTGTCTGGGTATTGGATATCGGACAGATACTGATTGATATGGTTCTGACAATGCAAAGTGGCTTAACATAAGGCTAAATGTCAGGGTAAAAGCCGTGTTGTTGTTGTTGTTGGTTTTGTTGGTCGTGGTCACTGGATTAAAACCAGAACACTTGTCATATGCATTAGTGAGTACCAAGTACGACAGAACACCTATCGATCCAGTGAAATTTACACCTCTTTTAATTATTGTAAGCATTCTATGTTATTTAAGGAAACCAAATAGTTTTTCACATTACAAAACTAATCATTCAAAATCATTTAACCGGAATGGTTGTCATATTTATCAGGTGTGGAGTAATGCACCACATCAAATCCCAAAGTCTGAGTACGGTATGAGTGACTTCGCCCCCCCCCTTTTTTTCCACATTGTGATTTGTGATTGCTGTACCGAGAGCTTTTGACAGTTTGAGTGATGTGTGTGCTAACATTCGTTAGGTAGTAATAAGATGGTATCTGTTGTTTTCAAATTTCCGTCCTGGATGGTATGGATAGCCGTTATTAAGGAAACTTTTGGGAAAAGCACGCACTTAAATGATTGCTTTGGTGTAATCTCGCTTTCCGGAAACTACGGGCAAACACGCCCTAGGAGACCATCCAAAGATAAAGTGGCCTCTGCGTGAGTCGATAGGATATCTCCTACTTGATTCCCTACCTGCAAAGAGGCACGCCCGTTATTTTTAAAATTACGAACCCCGGAGAAGACAATAATCTTCAGAGCGTGTATAGGCTCCAGTTACCTGATTGCCGCATAACTTATGAGTTGTGCAACCTCTTCTCATTTTCATCTGATGGGACCGCGCCCTTCTGGAAGAAGGATGAGACAGATTTCTCACAAGTACAACAAACACAGAGATACGCGATATTGAAAGTTTGGACGATATAGATACTCTTATCTTTCTTTTGTCGTAGCTGGTTGCCGTAAACTTGCTTGATTCCAGGTTAGGCAAATGTACACCTCTTTTTAAATGAAATATAGTTTACCTAATACACATCTGTTGATGGCCCATCATGGGTAAGAATGTGAAGCAAGAAATTGGCACAAAGATAAGTGTGTAAGTAACAAAAGAATCACGACTGTTTGTAGGAGCTAAGTTTCATCATAAAAAATCGATTTTCTTATGCACATCACCGAGAATGGATTACACGAATTGTGTTTAGCCATCAAACGGACGGTAACTTTGTTAGGACGGAGCTTAAACAACCCGCCCGATCGCGCACGCCTCCGAGTCTGGCCAAACGAACGCTCGCAACGCTCCAGACAGGCTGAGCCCGATTGGATGATCGCAGAACGAGTCAGCCAATGTTCGTCCGATCGATAAATTGATATAACAAGGACGCAACCTGATTTCTGCGTCACTGTGTCGTTCTCGTACGTGTGACTTGTTCTATATATTTGCGTATCGAAATGGAAACAAAGAAACACGCTGACTGCTGTCTCCAGCTGTGCTCCTTTTCCGCGTTATCATTGGGGTTTAAGCAGAATTCGTTCGTGTCATTCGTATTTCCAGATCGAAAAATAAGTATCTTTGCCGAGTGCAGTGTGATCCAGAGCGAAACACAAATGTGTGGGGAATTTATTATTTTCCATCCGAGATATAGAAAAACGCTACTTTCACCAAGTGTATCTCATGATGCAGATCCATTTGCTGCTACCGTCTCTCGGACTAAAATAAAGTCACACAATATCAGGCAACTGCACACAAATAAACTCCTGACTGGTATTTCGTTTTACTGACAACCGCGGTGCAAATGAGCCAATCCCATGCGCATTCACACATGTGGTCTGACGAAAACACATTTCCAACCGGTATTGTTCCTCCTTGCGGTTTTGTACTATCCAGATACATCCAGTGCGCTGAAGACGTTGATGGAAAAATACGCAGATTTGGTCAATCAGGCTCAATCACTGCTGTACAACACGGCCAGTGACATTGAAATGGGTAAGTCGATATGCAGCCTTAAGGTTATCATTGTGAATAATGGCAGTATGTTTAATACCCAGTTGTCCCGTAACATAAATGAACTGCGCCATACGGTCCGTTGACTGGAAACAAATAGACAGTCGTTTTCAGTATCAACGGTGAAAGAAAGCATAGGTCCGCAGGTGTTCGAATTTCCCTCAATTGCTGACGTGAGGCCAACAAGCGACGACTTTATTGCACGTTGGGCCCGTAAATCCACGTGAACAGATGTCCACAAATAGATGCAAAGGATTCACGGACTCGATTTCCAGTGTATCAGTTTGCAAGCTGGAAAGCAGTATACACATGTTTTGGCCTGATTGCTTCTGGTCAAGTAGCAAGTAGTATAGTGGTAGTATCCCAACAGAGTTCATCACCATAGAGAATAGCACCGGGACGAACGAGATCCATTACTAAAAACAAGTCTTTAAAGATAATTTGTGTAAGGTAAAAATGTGAAAACGGTTTTATTAGCTTCATGATGATTTTTCGAGTTACAGTTTTCTGCAGGTTCAGTGGATTCACCCTGTTGGTTAGCCTCACTCATTAAGGAAGAAACATCTGTTAAGTGGCTCACAGTGTTTCAGTTCACGTTTCTTTTGCTGTATACAAGACGCAATAGAACACATGATGGAAATGAATCTTCCTCCACCTATGAAGAGAAAGGATGTTGTACAAAGCTTAGTGAAGCTGACGTTGTAACATTTAGCGATACTTTTTCAACACTACGTGCCACCGACTATGATCAGTCATTCAACAATAGAAGTGGCGACCGAAATCATCTGAGTGACTGTCAATAACTAGGGCACCTGAACAAACTTGAGTTAGTGATCTCGGTCAACTCGAGTGTGAACTGACTAACTAACACATTGATAGCACACACGTTCTATGCCATAGGTTCGCAGTTAACATCCGGGAAGGGTTGATCGATACTCATTACAGATGCACCCTGGGGAATGCGGAGATTCATTCTGAACGATGGATGGTTTAAATCACTGTCGGTATAAAATTTCACAAAGTACAGCACCTTGAGCAAGCTTTTAATCCATATATTCACGAAGACGAGAATTAGGTTCATAAACACCTTCAAGCGTNAAAACTAGATTGAAATTTAAAAGAAAGGTCTGCCATCAGCAACTACTCCAATTGACCCCTTTCGGAGTAATTTAGAAATTTAGAAATAAATCGAAGTATGGCATTTCAGCGAGGCCATGCTTCAGCTTCACATTAAAATACTGGCAAATCCCTTTTATGTGACTCATTTGAGGGATGACAATCAGCGATGGCTTCTTCAAGACCAGCAGCAGAAATCAACCGTAGACGACCAGCATAACTTGTCTTTGAGTTCCCGTTGTTTGTCCTTTACACGAATGCCAAAAAATGCTAAAAACACATCATAATCCTATCTCTTTTCACTGGAGACAATACATTCATTGATACAATTAGCAGTTGCTGTGATTTACAAATATCTTATCGATTGGTTTGCAGATCGATTCATGTTTGAAATGGCAGGAAATGCGCTTGTGACCTATGGAGAAGATCTTGTGGACATTCGTGAGTCTATCATTGCAAACGAGCTGTTTATCGTTCATTCGAATAAAGCACAACCTTGAAAATGTCCGGATATCCACACGTTTAACTAAAATAATTTTTTATGTATTAGTCGATAGAAAAACAATCTATGCTTCTGGCAAATCGACTAATCTCAAAAAGATTATCCCTGATGATCGGAAGCCCAAATATTCCGATAGGAATCAAATACATAATTGGTTACAGAGCCTTATGCTATTTGCGATTGAAACGCAACGCTCAGCCGTACCTCCAACAACTTTCCAAATGGTCCGAACTCTACTCATGAAACATATTTTTTACTAATCTGTTAAAAAATAACATATATCGTTCAACAAGCGTTAATTCTGCTCGAAAGTAAACTTCTGATAGTCGCTGTGGTGTTTAAATTTGATGTGTGGGTTAATCTGTAATTGATTCGGTGAAGCATTTTTTCTGATGCAGTAAAGTGCATTTACCGCTGTCATTCTCGTGTTAGAGAATCACTATTCCAAATCGTTTTTTTACAACCACGGAAGAGTTTGCTATCTGTTCTAAGCTGATTTCCAGCTGAGATTTGCATTAGATAATTGGTAACACAAGTTATGGCCAGTTTCACGCTGCGTACCTGATGCTTGATGGGTTTATTTCTCGTACGCGTATCGCACCAGTAGTGCATGAGTCCGGAAGAGCGGATGAAACTGAACGGGTTTCTCTCTGTGAACATTGGGACGATGCATTCAGAGATCTAGTTAATGTTATTTCTGACCAACTTCATTTAATGTTCAGTATGATGGTCCCTTACCTACAGTACAGATCTCCTCTTCATGACTCTGAAACGTGACACAGGTTGTAACATCTGCTCAAGCATCGCATGCTCACATAACATGCGTAATCATTTTCGTGATTTAAATTAGCTGGTAAAAAGTATTTAGCACAAAAATTAATGGTTCTTCATCCGCAAAGGTCAATGCATTTCCCCCGAAATCTTCGGAATATAACAGACCGCCTTTTTGTGCAGGGCGAGTATGTTTTATTGTCGCAACTCATGTGAAACGTATAGCTTCGTTTTTATTTTGACAAATGACGGGTGCGGGCTTCAAACTATGAAGATTGCTTTAAATNTAGCATGTGCAACACGAGTAGTAGTCGGAATGACCAAAAATATCCTAGATGTGACTAACTTACACAACGTACGTTACGAGCTACTTTGCCGTCAGCACTCAACGTGAGGTTATTGACCCGTCTTCTGTTCATGGGTAAACTGGTTTAGTCAACTCACTGAGTGGTGAGTTGTCTCAGCTTGTTAAACTTGATCAAACCGAGTGGTTTGCTTCCTTCGTAAGTGCAAAAAAACAGGACTACGTGAAACCATTCCACACGTTTTAAATAGCATGCACTGTTTAACTGGACCCTCTATATATACGGAAATCTGAATGGATTAGAGTATCTGATTGAAACGTAATAAACAAGCTACCGAATAAAACATTTGACAAGTCAAGTTTAGAACCATGGCACCAAGCGCAAACAATGATTTTGGAATTAATGTAGGCCAAGTGGTGCATTCGGAAGCTATTTATCACCGATTCCGTAAATCACCATCTATTTGGTCAAGTCAAGTCAAGTCAATTAGTTTCTTTATGCACTCCGAAAGGTGGATATTCAGCAACCACATGGTCAACCAACAATTATCGAACAAAACCATATCAGAAGAAGAGGAAGGAAAACAATTTACGACGTGAGTGATTTGAGCTCGGAATCGATGCGTTCTGGTCTAAAAAGAAATCGGGTAAGACCGGTAGTCGGTTATATGAGCAAATATACAGTTATAGCGGGACCGGGTGTAAGAGGAGGACACACACTTAATAGGATCTTGATATAACGTATGTGAAGGGTTGTCTAGGATTAAAAAATGTTCAATCAAGAAGCGAGGGACGAATAGTCGAATAGTCGTAAGAAATAACATGATAGTTCCTGACCTTCTGAAACAGAGAAACAGCTTGGTCAAATCAGCATACGTTTCGGTTAATTAACACACCTAGATACTTGACATCTGGAGGTTGGACAATAGTATCATCGTATGTGTTTAGCGTGGGATAGGATTCCAGGGGATTGGCATAATAATTCCCTCTGTGAAGTAAGATCAGAATGTCTACACATTTAGAGGGATTGAGAGTCAGGTTTACGCTCAGCGGACCACTCAGCCAGGTTAGTAAGGCCAATCTGGAGGGTGAGGGTGACAGGTGCATCAGGATGGGCAATTCCGACTGCAACATCGTCCGCATATTTAATGAGCAGAGAATATTGTAAAGTAGGTATGGATGAAATATAAGTGGAAAAGAACAAAAGGGGATAGAATGGCACCCTATAATACGCCTAGTGTAGCAATTGAGAAAGAGAAGAAAAGACCAAGGTAACGTTTTAAATGGGTTCGATTTATGGAATAGTTAGTAAGTACTACAGTATTGGTTCGCGATATTTCGTTGGAAGACAAAATATTTACCAGCATGGATCTGTCAACGCAATTGAAGGCGTCATTGTAATCCAAGAAACAAATTCTGACAGCTTTATTGTTTCAATCAAGTGCTGACAGAATGTAGTGAATCAGATAAGCTAACGCCTTGAGCGAGAGTGAAGGTACGCAAAATCATTTTGGTCCTGCACATTTAGCTGAGATGACATTCCTAGAAGGAGTGCCTTCTCGAAAAGCCTTAACACGACAGACATACGTGCAATGGGACGGAATTTTGAGTTACCTCTTTTAGGCACTGGATTGATGGAGGTAGCTTTCCCACAATCCGGTATAATTCCGTTTTCCAAGCACTGATTAAACAGAGATAGGCCATCGCCAGAAAGATGAACTCATGGAGTTTTAAAACTGTTCACAGGGATCGGTTTTTTTGATCGATTTTTTCATCCGCAGAGTAATCTGATCCCTTGTCATGGCGACACTCTATTTCTAATTCCTGTTCTGAGTTCTAATCGAGCGATCAAACAACGATTGTTCCATAAAACCCAGAAGCTCGACCAATCGTTCTTCACAAAGCATTCAATATTCTGGAACATATTCTAAAAATGTGACTGAAATTTGTTGTCCCATGACAACAAAAGTCGAAAAGCACACTCGCTATTTCGGTAAATTGATCCAAAGAATAGTGAAATTGTTGACTGCTGACTTTATTGGCAGACAGTTTCGAAACTTTTCCGTTAATTTGTAGGCCAATCGAAAGGACACTTGTGGCATGTGATAGGGATAGATCCATTGGTAACTAGCGTTTCAGGGACAGAAAATTGACCGAAAAGCTGCCGGAGGGTTGCGGTTTTTAAGGTTGACGTAAGGCTTTCCATGAGGAAAATATCGGGTCATTTGCTGAAGCCATCGATAGCAATAATGTAAGAACGACCGTTGATCGGTCCTGCAAATTCAACTTGAAAACCCGACCAGGGTTGGTCAAGAATTGGCCAACTGGAAAGCTTGGTGACAGCTTTGGCCGAGTTCTCCCATTTATTTACCAATGAAAGGCCAATAGACATAGCTACGGTTGAGTGACTTTATGCGATTGATTCCCGGGTGTCCAGTGTGGAACTGTTAGAGCACTCTTTACTGTAGTGTCTTTGGAACCACGACTCTTTCAAGGAACAAGGTGCAACCGTTCACAATGGACAACAAATCTTTCCGTTGAAAGAACTGACGCGATTTGGTGGAGTTGCACGATTCTGACCAATATGTGCGCCCTCAATGAGCAGGGGTCGTGTCGCGTTTTCTCCCGAACTTCTTCAGCTATTACTGATGCATTGAGTAGAGCGTTGGTAACGAGGAACTTGACATCTGGTTCCACCGATATCGAAGCATTGATTCTCTTCGGGCTCTGGCCGTTGAGCGTTGATAAGTCTTGACAGCGCACCTGCTTGATCACGCGATGTAGCCGACTGATGGCGGATCTCATAATCATAGCTGAGAAGGATCAGTGCCCAGCGTTGAAGGCGGTTGGCAGTATAGATTGGAATACCGTTTTAGGAGCCAAAAAATGCAATCAAAGGCTTATGGTCAGTGACGAGCGTGAATTTTTGACCGTATAGCGTCTTATGAAACTTCTTCACAGCAAAGAGGCTAGCCAGGGCTTCTTTTTCAATTTAAATGTAGTTTCGCTCCGCTGAAGCTAACGATCTAGCGGTATGTGCAATGGCCTTCTGTGATACCTCTGGGAATTTGTGAGAGATGACCGCACCAACTCCGCAGTTTGAAGTATCGGCTGCCATGATGATATCAAGCACCGGGTCGAAATGTGTCAGAAGCAGGTCTGAGCCCAGTATTGACTTGACACAATTCAGGGCGTTCTGGCACTCTGTTGACCAATGTCATGGTTGATCTTTGGCTAGAAGTTGGTTCATTGGTGCTCGGACGCAATGCATATGAGGAACAAATTCACTGTAGTGACTTACGAGGCGCAAAAATGATCGGGCTTAGTCAAATCCTTTGGTGGTAGCATATTTGAATGGTTTTAATGTTATCTGGATCTGGTCGACGGCCATCTTTGTTCAGAATAAAATCAAGATACTTGGCGGAGAGCATAAATAAGTCACATTTGTCTTCTCGGATTCCGAAACCATATTCTTGAATCCGTTTCAGCACTGTATTCAGTTGGCTAAACAGTTCTTCTTGCGCGCGACCCATAACGACTATATCATCCAAATATGCTGCAGTGTCCGTGATACTAATCAACATCGTGTCCATCAGCCGCTGAAAAATTACTGGCGCAGACTTGACACCGAAAGGCAGACAACTTTGATGGAACAAACCACGATGAGTGTTTGACGTCAGTAGCTCCTTTGAGTCATCAGCAACGCTCCCGTGGTGAAACAGGTACCACCATTCAGTTTTGCGAGGTTGTCTTCCGGTATTTGAAAGTGGATATTAATGATCTTCTTCTTCAGACCCGTTGAGAAATCGGCACAGATGCGCACCTTGCCATTGGGTCTATTGACAATCACAATCTAGGAGCTGCCCATGATGAGTAATTGACCGCCTTGATGACGCCAGATTTTTGCAATCGATCTAGTTCAG